AACTCAAACCACAGCTTGTACACAACCGCTCAGGCCCACAGAGGGGGTTTCTTTTTAACACCAACCTAAATACAGAGTCTCCGATCACAATGATGATGACAGTGGTCACTGGCAGAGCACTTTAAAATCTGCCAACCACTGTGCACATAGTCTTCCAGCTGAGCCCCAAAACAAGCCTTTTGAGGTATTATGATCACATTTTACAGCTGGGAAAATTGAAGCTAGATGAGAAATCTGAGATGATCTAGTCAAACAATGACAGATTTGGAGCTAGAAGGCTCTATTCAAGTGTGAGTGCTGGATTTGGAGCCTGGGACAATCTGAGTTTGAATCCTGTCTCAGATGCTTAGAAGCTGTGTGACCCTGGGCAAGTCACTTAACACAGCCTCAGTTTTCTCAGTCAAATGAGGGGCTGAAGTCACTTTCAGTTCTATTATTCACCATCTACCTCCTGGACATGTTGAAATGGACATCCCATAGACATCTCAAGACTCAACACGTCCAAAACAGAACTCAGAAAATTCTCTTTTCCCCAAAACTTCGTCTCTCCTAATTTCCCTATCACCGTCCAGGGTGCCACCATACTTCCGTTCATCCAGGCTCAGAAGCCTGGTGTCAGCCACGACGCCTCACCATCACTCCACCCATCCAATGTATTGCCAAGACCGATCATTTCTACCTTCACAACATCTTTCTCTCCTCTTTAATCATACTGCCACCAAGCCAGGTAGCCCTTCATCACCTCAAGCCTGTACTACTGAAAAAGGCTTCTGCCGCCTCGAGCCTGTCCCCAGTGTAGTCCGTCTCTTACTCAGCTGCCAAAGGGCAAGTCTGACCATGTCCCTCAGTCCAGAAAGTCTAGCGGCTCCCTACTACCTCCAGGATCAAAAAGAAAAGCCTTTGTTTGCTGTTCAAAGCCCTTCATAACTTGGTCCCTACGCTTTCTCATACCTTACATGTGATTTTTGTTCCAGCGACACTGGCTTTCCTTCTGTTTCTCACACCAGATACTCCATCCCTGGGCTCCAGACATTCTCAAGGTCTGGCCCATAACTCTGCCTTCTGGCTTCTCTGGCTTTCTTCAAGTCCCTAAAACCTACTGCACGAAGCCTTTCTCCATCATCTTCAACGCTAGCGCCTTCCCTCTGTCGACCCCCTCCAATTCTGCATAGTTGTCCACATGTTCTCTCCCTCCATCAGACTATGAGCTCCTTGGAGGGGTGGAACTATCTTTTTGCCTTTTCTTTGTATCCTTACAGCTTAGCACAGTACCTGGCACATAGTAAGCACTAAACAAATGTTTGCTGACTGACATGGAGGAGGAGTGACTTACAAGGCTGTACTTTAAGTGAGGAAGACCCGAGTTCAAATCTTGCCTCAGATATTTACTATGTGACCATGGGCAAGTAACTTTTTTCATCTTCTGCAAAGAAGTTTCATCTTCTGTCAAATGAGGGAGTCAGCCTCTATGGCCTCTAAGATCCCTTCCGATCCTCTGATCTCATTTTATCAATAAAGATAATGAAACACAAAGAGGTCAAGTCATTCGCTGCACACACAAAGAGCATGCCTACTGACAGTTCTAATATTGTTTGACCACATCACAACAGTCTCCTCAAACTGTAAAATAAGACCTTGTAACTAACAATTTTTAAATGTCTACAAAACAGTTCTTAATGGATTAAAATCTGCCATTGTCCTACCTCCCCTAAGCTTTGGTACAAAGCAGAGATTCGCAGGGCACCTGTTATAGGGAAGACAACCGGACATGGCATCCAAAGGCCAGAATTTGGGTGCTGCTTCTCTCTGACCCTGTGACCTGGGGCAAACAGCTTCTCCACTCTGCACCCGTTTCTTCAGTTCCAAAACTCGGGATAACAATGTTCTCAATGCCATTCTCTCTTTCACTGTTTACTCCCCCACCTCAAGCAATCACTTCAAGAATTATGAAGCAGGACAACTGCTTTACTTAACTTTCAGAAATCAGAGCCTGTCTCTGGAAACAAGGTAATGGGGAGGCTGTCTGGGGGTAACGTGGAGAACAGGTACCTGACCCTTACTTCTAGAGACAAAGCGGCTCAGCCAGAAGAGCTGAGTACCAACCTGGCTGTGTGGTTGGAGGGGCAGAGGGCGCAGGTGTAGGCGCTGGAGGTGGGGCCGGCGGGGGAGGGGTTGATTTCACTTCACTTTCCATAGGCGGGATCTGTATCTGTTGTGGGGGTGGCTGCTGCTGCTGCTGCTGTTGCTGCTGCTGCTGCTGCTGCTGCTGCTGCTGCGCCAAGCTGTTAACAAACTCCTCGTGCTGAGTCTTCAGGGTCTGTATCTGTTGTTGGAAGGCCATTTGAACTGGCTGTACCACAGCTGCATATTCAATGATCAGTGTTGCCTAAACCAGTGAGAACCACAAGTCAAACCTGAGCCAAAAGACATTTCACACCCAGGTGTCCACACAGCAGGCCTCTCAGGACCATTCTTCACTGCTGAGATGTCTCATGGGCACCCTTTCCTTTTTTACAGACTATAAACTTCCCACTGACTCCTTTTCCCTAACAGAAGACTTTTACCTTTCTCCTTATGCATCATCACCTAATCAGATGCTAAGTCGGCCAAAACGCACCCTCCCTAAAATAAGGAAAGCCGAGCAAACAAGCCAACACACTGGCTGGTGTGAAATGACCCTGACAGTCTGCTACTGCCTCCCATGTACTCCACAGAGCATCCAAGTGAGGGCAGCCCATTTAGTCTACATTCATTAGTAAGCACAATTGATTCCGGAAAGATTCCACGTATATGTTCTCTGGCCTAAGGTTCCTTCCACTTCTAAAAACTCTCTAGTAGTTTGTTCCATACAGATAGACTTCCCCATAAATAAGAGACACTCCAGAAAACCTGTGTACAAATGAGCTTTTTACAAAGCAAGTCACATGCCAACAGTACTTGAATCCTGCCACTGACTGGGAATCAATGCTAGTTCAGAAGTGAGTGTGAGTGTGAATGTGAGTGCGTGGACATGCACGCATGCACTCGTGTGAAAAGTTTTCTGATCTGATTCATAAATGGATAACAATTCTAACTCCGAGAGAATGCTGGAGATGGCAGCACCTAATCTACCTGGATCACGCTATAAAAAAAGCCAAGTGGAAAGGTGTTCCCACCAACCTGGTACTGTCCGAGCCCGAGGGCTGGGCTCTGCAACTGCTGGATAATTGACTCATCGAAGTAACCATTCTTCTCCCACAACTGGAGGAGCTGGGTAGAGGGAAAACAGGAAGGGAGAATTAGGCACAGAAATCCTTTTTGCCCGCTTTAAAATATTTCCAGGCTCTCTCAATCAAAGTCAAGGAAGAGGAGAAAGGCAGGCAGTTACTCACCCGGGCAATCTTCTGCTGTTTATCCTCTTCCACAGCTAAAAAGCTGGTACAGTAAATGGGAACCACTACTTTCTGCAGGGCAGCCAATAAATCCCTCGCCTGCTTCCGCTGGCTAAAAAGGGAAGGAGAAGTTGCCTGTGTCAAGCTCAGGCCTTAATGTGACTACTGGAGATGTGGCACTGTCGAGGGAAATGGAGGAAGGGAACCGTGGCCCTGGAGAAGAAATGAGTCCTTCCACTGCCCGAGTCCTTAAAGGGGCCCAATACACAAGCACATAACAGGCTACTCACAGTCAGATACCACCCCCCCAGCCACATCTCCTCTTCTTTTCTTTGGTATAGAAAAATTCAGGTATTCAGAAATTGGTGTAAACACAAAAGGAATCAATAAAACTTGGGAAAAAAAAAGGAAATTCCTGAGAAAATAGGAAGTCTGTTTGGTAGCAACTGGGTTAGATCAGCATCTTACTCCACATATATGATATGCTCCAAAAGGGTCTATGACCAAAATATAAAAAAATGTGAGACAACAGAAGAAGGTTCCTTTCACAATCATGGCTATGGTGAAAATGCTTCTTTAAAAGGAGATGGGATATCATAAAAGATAAAACAGACTTCTGATTATGCAAAATTAAAAGCTGTCAGACAAATAAAACCAAAGCAGCCTTGAATAAGAAGAGAAACTGAGGGAAAAAAAATCTTTGTATTAAATATTTCTGATAAGATTCCAGAATCCAAGATTTGTAAGAAACTTTTATAAATATACGAGGACAAGAGCTATACCCCAAAAGATAATAGGGATAAGAAGTTTTCATAAGTAAAGCAAAATCAATGTTTGTATTGAGATTGTTTCAAATAATTAAGAGAAATGGGGGCAGCTAGGTGTTATAGTGGATAGAGCACCGGCCCTGAAGTCAGGAGGACCTGAGTTCAAATCCGGCCTCAGACAAAACACTTGACGTGTACCAGCTGTATGGCCCTAGGCAAGTCATTTAACCCCAACTGCCTCACCAAAAAAAAAGAAAAAAAAAAGAGAAATGAAACTTGAAATAATTCTTTGTTTCTACCTCATACCTGTCAAAGGGGCAAAAATGATTTTTAACAATGGAAATAATCAATGTTGAAGAAGCAGAGGGCAGGCCCACTAATACACTGTTAGTGGAGCTATAAATTGGTCCAACTAGTCTGGGAATCAGTTTGGAATTACGTGAATAAAATCACTGAAATGTTCAAATTCTCTAACCCAGCAATCCTATTCCAGGGCATATTCTCCAGGAGGTCAATGAGAGAAAGAAAAGTTGTACACATTAATGTTTACAACATTCTAGGGTAGCCAAAAATTAGAAACAAAATGGGTGTCTGTTGATTGCATAACTGGCTGAGAAAACAGTAGCACTGAGGCACACATATTATTTGAGGCAAGCAATAATTTTTTACAGGGCTTCATTCTGTGGCAGTGACACAGAATGGGGGGTGTGTGAGGGTGTGTGTGTGTGTGTGTATGTGTATGTGTGTGTGTGAGACCATGACTAAATGACTCCATACTTGAGCTTGTTTCACTCAGCTCACTGTTAGGTGACTGTGGATATGGTGCAATAACCACATGTTTCCCTGCTCTCTTTTCTTACAGTTCAAATTCTGGAGTTTTAGAGAATGGCTGTTATTTCAAGGAAATGTGTAAAGGCTCTAGTACCTAAAGGATGCACTTTGGGGAACTATTGCAGGAGCCCTTGTTGGGGGGTAAAGGAGGGAGTGAAGTAGAGAAGAAAGCCAAATGCTTCAAGGATCACACAAGATGGCAACAAAATAGTCTCTATTACACTGAAGAACAAAGCAAAGCAGGGTCAGAAAGATAAAACACAACCAACTCAAACCGTCATTGCAAAATAGTCTAAAATTCCACCTCAGAAGACAAGACCTTCAGACAGGCCTGGTCACTGACTCCTCTACACTCCAGCCCAGGTGTGTTCAAGCTGAAAGAACAGATGATGAGAGGGAAAAAACAGCTGCTAACTGCTGCCAAGAAGAAAATACACTTGTCATGGGCAAAACAATGCCAAGAATGGAGTACTGAAGATTGGGAAAAAGCAATTTTACAGCTGAAATTTGCTTTTTCATTCAAGACTATACTGAAACTGCTATCAAAATCTAGGTGATCCTGTATAATCTGGGCACCTTCAGACTGTAAAACACCCTCCCCCTTCTCCCCTATCCTCCCCCAAAAAACTGAGGAATTTTTTATTTCTAATGGGCCTGGAAGTCTTATTCCCACTGAGAGAAAGATGAACTCTGATAAACATACTCACATACTAAGAAGTAGAATTGTTCTGGAATTACAGAAATTCCCAAAGGGAGATGGAATCCTGCAATATGTCTTTGCATAATGCCACATCACAAAGGTAAAAAAACTTATCCAAGAAATGGAGATAAACATGCTTTAATGGCCTGACAACTTGCCTGATTTAAACCCCAGTGAAATATTATGGAGTAAAAACACGACTAGGAAAAATGTACTGTGTGTCAAAGATATACGTAATATCTACTATGATAAAAAATATGGTTTCATAATGAAGAATGTGTCAAAATCTTGTGAACCCAATTCAAACTGTGTAAAACAGGTAACTACAGCAAAAGGATGTCTTTTATATTAAGTTTTAAAAAGATTTATTGTTAATAAATTCTAATTACTGTGTGATTTGCACATTATTACATATATAATGAAATAATATTGACCCATTAAAATTATGAAGAATTCAGAATGAGTACTAGTAAGAAGCGATGCAGAGTGAAGAAAGTATAATCAAAAAGATTTAAACAATGATTTCAGTAACATACACGACAACACTGAGAAGTCATCCTGGAGAACCAATAAAGAAACACATCTCCTTTTCTGAAGAGATATTGGCACTATGGATGTAAAATTTGATCTCTACTGTCAAATACAGTTGCTTTGTAAGTTGGCTTGCTTACTTTTTTCCTTTTTTCTCCTTTTTTTTTGGTGCAAGAAAGGATTCAGTGGTAAGAGCTACTAAGGGGAAACAACTATGATATAAAAACAAAAGTAATGATAAAATATTAAATTTTAACTGAATAACTATACAAGAAATATTGTATAGCAGTAAAGGGTTCTCTTATCCTTTTCCAGATACAAGTAGCTGGGAAGGATGGATAGGTAACATATTGAAAGACTGAATCAGGATCCAAAAAGATGACAGGCTGGAATGATGTTAAGGAGTGGGAAAGGGATTCCAGGGCATAAAGACTACTCATAAATAACAGTTGGGGGCCACATGCAAACTGCAGTTGAGGAATTTGTAGAGGGTGGGGTCCATACATATAGTGGTAGTGATTCGCAGTTTTGTTTCGTTTTGTTTTTTTTGCCTAGGCAATGGTGTTAAGTGACTTGCCCAGGGTCACACAGCTAGTGAGGGCCAAATTTGAACACAGGGCCTCCTGACTCCAGGGCCTGTGCTCTATCCACTGCACTACCTAATTGCTCCCTGCAGTTTTTCCTAATAGTGAGCTGTAGCAGACTGAACAAGGAGGTAAAAAAAAGATGCTAGAGGTGATTCAGGAATAGGAACTGTAATGGTGAAAAGCCAAGAGGGTGACACATTTTAGGATTCTATTAACGGCAACATTTAGGGAATGGATTGGACAAGTACATTTATATATACAAATATACACACAATTCATCACAAGAGGGTTGCAGAGGGTGGACAATTTAAAAGAGTTACTCCATCCTCTTTGCTAGGACGATCCAAGGACACACGCATTCCAACATGAAAGACTTAATGCATCTTTTGATACATCAGACTCTCACTACTTTGATATCATCTACAGCCAGATGGAGACAGACCCAAACAAGTAAGTCTGAACATAGGCTGTGCCATCAAAAGGAGATATCTTTGAAAGGATAATACATATCTTTATCTATCTGTGTGTGTGTGTGTGTGTGTGTGTGTGTATACACACACATAAATATAAGAGTAATGTCATCATAAGGCATGTTCAGGATTTATAAAAGTTAAATTTGGGGGTTTGAGAGAAAAAGGGCAGAGAACAGTACACAATGGTACACAACAGAAAACTAGAGAACCTTGTAAGTAATGCATATGTGTGTGGAAGAGTTAAGTATCCTGGCAGACAATCTAGAAATTGTATTTACTGAAAGCCCTTACCAGTGATGCAAAACATCATTGATCAGGTAAATCAAATGCAATCGCAGCTCAAAATGTGCCCCATCAGCAGTGATCCGATTTCGGAGGTGGCCAGCCATCAGCTCACAGTGTGGAGGAGTCTTGGCATTACTGAACATCCAATTCTTTCCCGCCTGGAAATGCCAATTTAATAACTGTCACCTGGACTAAATATTTAAACTTCTTAGAATTTTACTTAGAATCACCACGGCAATTGTGATGATAAATAGGTCGCTTTTCTGTGGTTCTCCACAATTTACAAAACACTTCCCTCACAAGTGTCCGGGTGAAGTAAGTCATGCCAATAACATTATATACGATGTACACAGAACACCTTAGAGTCTGCAAAGCACAGCAGACGTCATGAAACCCGAGGCCCACAACAACCTACTGGTGGACTGCCAATAAAGTTTAGACCGGGGACTACAGATAAAGAAACCTCAAAGAGATCAGGTGATTTGCCCATCATAATACACTTGCTAAATGCCACAGGCAGGAAATCCTCCCATGTCTCTAACTCTAAGGCCAGCACTTTCTCCACTCTGCCAGGTTCCAACTGACATGACAGAACAGATTCAGAAGATGAAGTGCTTTTGTCAGGTAAAAAGCATAAACAAGACGCAAACCTTGGCTACGTCTCCACATCTGATACCCTTTTATCAGCCTAAATCACCCTGTCTCAGAGTTGGGAAGGACCTCAGAACTCATGCACGCCAGTCCACCTACTTCAGGCAAAAATCCCCCTCTATAACATTACTGGCAAGGTCTGTTTGAATCCTTCCAATAGCAGGGAGTTTATCTTCCAAAGTAGCCTACCCCACTTTTCTTTTTTCTCTAAAAATAGGACGAAGGAATAAATGGCCATTTTGTCATCAGAATGACTTACCAATGGAACACCTGTCATCTAACAGAGCCTCCTACAAGAGTAGGCACCCAATAAACTACTGAAGGAATGAACAACTCCTTTCTAGTCAAAAGAAAGGTAAGTGAGTCAAGGCTTGGTCTCAGGGTGACAATACCCATCAATCAGTCCAGGCACATTTTCTGGAGGAGTCTCTTACTTACAGAGATTGCATCTTTGGTGCACGTATCAATTATTGGTTGCAGCAGGTTATCAAACTCATTCATGTCCAGTTGGGTTTCCTCCAGCAGTTTCTGCATCTGCTGCTCCACTGCATGGGCTATTGCAGATGTAACTTGCTCCTAAAGAAGACCAGACCAAGATGTCTTCATTCATTTGATATATAACAAAAAGCCAGAGAAACAAGACTAACTGAATTCTGACGACATGATCTGTATTCCAGATTGAAAGAATTCCACACTCAAGAGGAAGACCAGACTTCAGGCTACACAGTGAAATGCATTTCTTTACTCGAGCTTTTTGCTTTCACAGGAAGCTGAACAAAGTTGTTAACACCTTATCAATCTTTACTAGCATCCACATTAATGGCATTACTCAGAGTTGAGAGGGAGCCACTTGACATGGTAAACCAGAGTTGGGGGAAATCTCAGAGAAAAATAGTCATTTAATCAAATCACTCCTCTTGCCTTACTTGATAGAGAAGAAAACTAAGGCCACGAAAGGGGAAGTGCTCTGCCCAGGTCAGATGGCGGGGAAATGGCCAAATTAGGACTAGTGCCCAGGATATCCCTGTCCAAGGCTCTTGGTACTACACCATGCTTCACAGTTCCTATGCCCATGAATGTCCCTGAGACATGAAATTTGTACATATCTTCCCCATTAAGAGACTCTCCAAAGCCTTTTCAAAAGCCATTACCGCCAAAGGTGGCAAAGAGGCAGTCATCTGCCTCTGGTGGAGCTCGCTGAAAAGCAGGTGACAGGGACTGCTGTGGGGAGAGTGAGGCGCCAGCAATATCGTGGCAAACAACGGCAGCTTTACCTGTCTCATGGCCAGGAGGTGCTGCTCCTGCTGCTGCAGGCTCCACTGGCTCTGCTGAATGAGTTCTTCCACAGCAGGGGCTCCCTGAGAGGGGCTGATGGTTGGAGCTGGTGGTAAGGAGGGCTGCGGCAAGGGCTGCATCTGGGCAGCAGGTTCTAGCTCTGGAGTCTGCTGCTTGCACATCACTAAAACAGCATAAAACGTAAAAAACAAAATTGTTTCTAACATCATATAATCAACCTTTCCATTCTCCTCATGTTTGCTCTGAAACTCACTGTTTCTATACCATAGAGATTCCTTCAAGGACTGTGGAAAAGCAAAGCTATTTCTACTATCAAAATGAAATTGTTCTCTACTTCAGATTCTTCTCTTCCTGCAAATGAACCTCAAGTCTTTTCCTGTCAACTTGAGCTCTCTCCCCACCCCAACATTCAACCATGGTTACAGAATGTCGCAGCTGGTTAGAAACTATGAATTAGACTACATAAAGAGGGTGAAAACTGAAAAGAATCTTACAAGTGATCTTACCCAACTAGTTCTTTTTATATATAGATATAGATAGATAGATACAGATTTTATATATATATATGTGTGTGTATATATATATATATATATTTATAAATATATACAGATAGAAAAACTGAGGCCCACAGAGAGGAAAGGCTTTGTTCAAGGTTCTATAGCTACTTATAGAATTTCATAGGATTCAGAGTTGAGTATCTACTCTAATCCTCTCATTTTACCTAAGAAGAAACTAAGGTCTAGGAAGGGAAAGGTACTTGCTCAAAATCAGACAATTAAGTAGCCCTGAAGCCCAGCTCTTTTTCTGAGAACTGTAGAATCTCAGAGACAACCTCAGAAGGTCTTGACAAGTGGTCAATGATCTACCACTTCAAAGATTTCCAGTGACAGGGAACTCACTACCTCACAAAGCAGTCCACTACAAATCCTCTCTTACTACCTTAAGAGTTGATTTAAAGACAAAGAAAACCTGTGACTCTGTGTGTCAAAACTCCTTTGTATGGGCATCAGTTCTGATACACACAATACATTTTTGACAGGATAACCAAGACTTCCATTCACAAATCACACTCATACTTCCAGTTGCTTGGTTCTAGGTCCTGGAATAATTTAGGTAGAATTTACTACCAGCTCAGAGAAACCACCAAAGTGTAAAGGTTACAAGGTTAGGAAAAATCTCTAGTGTTGAAGTCCCTTCCCCTTTTCCTCATTATCCTGTTTTATTAAACAGGATAATAACCATGCACCACTAGGCCCTAGGTAAATACTTTCTGAATTAACAAATAATCTTCCTTCCTCCTCTGTCCACAAAGGGAATCATACCTTTATGTGGGTGCTCTATGTGCTCTATCCAAACGAATGTAAATTTTGATTGCTTATACTTTGCAAGACCTTGGGGTTTAGTTGTTGTTGTTTTTTCCTCTCTTTCCTACTTATTCTAGCATTGTTTTTCGGTTTGTTTTTTTTAAACTGGGGCAATTAACCCTTTCGTCTCATGTAGT